GGTCTTTCTGCACCCTCTCGGCCAAGATTTCCCCCTATATGGGTCCCCACCTTCATCCAAAGGCGTTCTCTGCTCTCCGAAAAGATGGAGATAGGTGCCACGACCTGGTGATGTATCTGGAGGTGCACAAGGCAGAGGTGCAGCCAAACTGCATTTTAGCCTGTGCTAGGCTTAATCCCACTCAGCGTACAGTTTCAGAGGCCCTAATGAGACTTTGCAGTACTTAATGAGCTAACACCTGATGATGTTACCACATGGATTGTGTCTCCAGACCCTCCTTCATGTCCTCAGAAGCCTGAGGAGGTGCTAGTAGAAGACTTGCGTGTTTTGGGGTCCCAACCTGCCTGGGATCTCGTGATGTGATGAGTCACCTTGGCTCTGTGCTCCAGCCCCCTCTTGCAGCGCCAACCAGCTGCTGCCTGTATTTTGGCTTTCAAAGCCCTTGCAGGCATCCGTAGGGGAACTCTTGGTGACCTTGTGCTCTACCAAATTTGCTGGACTTAGTCACATGGAGCAGGCTTGGACAGTGGGCAGGGTAGTCCTTTGGATGCGCAGTGTTGAGGGGCTGCTTAGGTTTCCTGAGGGCAGAGGGGTTCAGCGTTTGCCCCTCCATCTGCTGGCTCGTGCTAGGCCTTGTAGTTGCTTCATGAGGTTGGGATGCCCTCAGTTGGGAGGTTGGAAACTCTTTGCCCAGACGAGCACCAACATCATCTCCCTCCTCAGATGTGGACCAACAGTATCAACCAGGCCAATAAGATGGCCCTGCTTGCCTGGGCAAAAGAAACTGGCATCCACCTGGTGCAGATCAACGGGCAGAGGCGATATGGTGGCCCCCCCCCAGGTACGTGAGAAGAGCATCTCAGTGCTGTGGTGCCTTGGGAACATGGCACGTAGGACGCCTGGCAGACACAGAGGCGAGGTGGGTCTCACCTGCGTGCACCGTGTCATTGTGTGCCTGCAGGTTGGGTGGGTGACCCCCCGCCAGCTGGCACAGAGGTGTTCATCGGTAAGCTGCCACAGGACATGTATGAGAACACGTTGATCCCGCTCTTCAAGAGCGTGGGGAAGCTCTATGAGTTTCGCCTCATGATGACCTTCAGTGGGCTTAATCGGGGCTTTGCCTACGCCAAGTACAGCAACCGGCGCGGCGCCAAGGAGGCCATCGCTGCGTTCAACAACTTCGAGGTGCGGAAGGGCTGTGCCATCGTGGTGTGCAAGAGCACAGAGAAGTGTGAGCTGAGCATGGATGGCCTGGCCACCTCGGTGAGCCGGCGGGAGCTGGAGGCCGTGCTGCGGCAGGTCACAGAGGGGGTCCTCAGCGTCACCCTGTATGCCAGCCCCAGCCAGAAACGGGCCCAGCTTGCTGTGCTGAAATACAGCTCGCACCAGGCTGCCGCCATGGCCAAGAAAACCCTGATGGAAGGTAAGTGGGAGGTCCATGGTGCTGTGGGATGCTGCTTGGGCTGGTCTTCCTGGTAACTCTAAGGAAGGATTGATCCCACCTCCAGACTTGGCTGCAAGGTGACTTCAGCCTTGAGACATCCCTTGTTCTCTCCCTGCATCCCATGGGAGGCCAGCTGTCCTCAGTGGGGTGATCCTCAGCAGTCCTTGTGTAGACCTAGTGGTGGTGGGGCAAAGGGGCTGCTGGAGGTCCTCAGACAGCTGCCTGCTAAGAGCAGGAGCATTACCAGTAACAGTCCAGGGCATCCAGAGCTTTGACCAAGTTATTAAACCCTCCTGATGGAGATGCCCTACCCCTCAGCACCCCATCCCATGATTGCACTGCCCTCTGGTGGGACACGTTTCACAGACATCCAACTGGAACCTCCAAACTCCTGATTTGTACCCATTTCTGCCCCAGCTGAGAAGCATCTGGCTTTGATGTCTTTGCACCTGTCCCTAAAGGCAGGCTGCACCTAAAATCCCCAGAGCTTTGCAGGTCTGAGCCCACCTTGATAGCAAAAGGAGATGGAGAAGCAACTACCCTGCAGCTGCGTGAGGGGTGGAGGTAGGGGAAAGGATCCTGTGCAGTTCACGCACTGTGGGTCGGTGCCAAACCACCCATGGGGGTCACTGTGCCAGATGCTGGGCAGTGGGGTGGAATGGGGTGATATTGGAGGGCTGGTCCATGTGCATCTCCTGCCAGCTGCTGCCGGTCTCTCCCAGGGAACATGAGGCTCGGTGGGGTGGAGATGAGTGTGGACTGGCTCAACTCTGATCTGAAGCAGAAACTGCAGTCCTGCGAGGAGAAGCCATCATCCAGAAAGGTGCAAGGGGGCAAGTGCCTGGGGGTCCCCAAGCACTCACCCCTGTCTCCGGTGCTGCACAATGTGCTGGACCGCCTGAACACCCTGTGCCGGAGGCAGCACTTGGGGACACCCCTGTTCCTCACCAAGTGCGTCCAGGCAAACCCCAACGGGTGGCAGCGGTTCTGGTGCCGGGTGGTGATCCCAGGGTGCCCTGTGCCCTTCAGTGGGTTCACATGGGTCCGGCAGGATGGGCCAGGCAGGAGCGGGCACGAGGAGGCGAAGGTCGTGGTGGCGTTGCAGGTTCTCTGCATGCTAGGTGAGTCCTCACGTGGCATCGGTGCCACCCCAAAGTCTTGGAGTGTCTCTTGGGAGTGTGGAGCTGTGGTGCTTCTAGTGCACTGGGGGACCCAGCCTGGCAGACAGCTGAAACACTGTCACCCCCCCCACCAGATGTGACCCTGGTGGCTCTGAGCTCTGGGTGGGATTCCTGGTTGGATGCAGAGGATGCAAGGGGAGGGAGTTTTGGGGTGCCGCTCCCTGCAGCACCGCACAGAGCCTGACGTTTACCTCTCCACTGCAGGATGCCAGCTGATGTAGGCAGTCGTTCTGCCCGAACCATGAGTTGAACCTGAGCCTCGGTGCTGCTGGCTGCAGGAGCAGCGTGCGAGCCCCACTGGGGACCTGGTCCTGTTCCAGCTTTGCTTTGAGTTTGTTTGGGTTTGTTTTGAGAGCCGACTGTGGAGGATGGGGCTGCTGGCCTGATTTGTGACAGCTGCCCTGTCCCCTGGCTGGCCTTTGGGGACAGTTCTGGTTTTTGGGGATGTACCTGCCCAGTTTGACTTAAGTTGGTTTGTGTTGCTCTGCTGTGGTGGAGGGGGCCCGGTGCAGGTCTTGGGAGAAGAAGCAGCTGCTTGGAGAGACTGCCAGCGTCGGCTGGGGAGGCAGAGGGGACCTTGGGGACTGGCCTGGGCTCACCGGGGGACTGTGCATGGCCTCAGCTGGCATGCCTGGTTCCTGAGAAATGGCCTCTGTTGAGGACAGGGCCATACACAGGGACCATCCTGGTGGATGGGGGACGTCCCGTGGGCTGGTGGAGCTGCTTTTTAACGAGGGGAGTGTCTGTGGGCTCTGGGAGGTGCAGGGCTGTTTGCGCTGCGGGGAAGCAGCTGTGGGGTTACTGGCTGTCTCAGGACCAGGAGGTCCAACCGCACACTGTTCACGTGGTATTAAAGTAGTCTGGAAAGCCTCATCTTGTGTCATGTCGTCTTTTGCTCCTGCATCCTTCGCTCCCTGCTTGTCCAGCACCAACTCTGCACTCTCCTGCTACACCAGGAAGCCTGTCTTCTTCTGTGGCAGGAGAAGAGAGTGGTGGGACTTGGATCCATCCTGTAGCCTCCAGGCTCTGGAGCCACAGCCTGCTGGACCCCTGCAGGCAGCAGCCCCTGGCACCCAGAGCTTCGTGGCCCCAGCTTCTCACCGAGGTCTGTCTTACTGCCTTTGGGTATGCCCCAGGCTCCTCTGAGCACCTCTTGATGCACCCTCAGAGATCTTTGGATGCACCTCTGGGACATTGTAGCACCTTTCTGCTCTTCTCTGGGGCCTCTGAGTGCTTTTCAGCGTGTCCAGTGGTCTATGATGAGCACCGTGGGTTTCCAAGTTCATTTCGGGGCACAGTGGATGCCTCCAAGTAGGTAGTTCTGATAGTCCCTTCTGTGCAAAAGACCTGAGTACCTTGCTGTTAGCCACCGGTGGCCTTCAGGGGCCTTACTGTGCTCACTAGGGTCCGCAGCGCATTTTGGTGCACCTAAGGGGACTCCATGTGTGTTACCATGCTGCCCAGGTGCCTCCAGGTACCTTGCAGTGAACACCAGGAGACTCTGAAGTGCCTTCATGTGTCCTCGAAGGGCCATTCTGTGCTCAGCATCAGTCAACCAGTGCCTTTTGAAGTGCCCCAAAGCCTCGCAGTGTTAGGATGTGGCCCATGGGGCTCCGAGTCCATTTGGTGCAGCTCAAATGGCCCTGTGCACCTATCTCTGCTTCCCAGAACTTTACCAGTATCTTCTGACACACATCTGGACCCTGCAGCTCCCTTTGGCAGCACCCAAGTGACATCTTTGTTCCTTTTGGATGCGCCCAAGGGAATCCTCCAAGAGCCTTTTGGTGCACCCTCAGGTACCTCCAAGTGCCTTTTTGTACTCCCCAGAGATCTGCACGTCACTCCTGATGTGCACCAGGACCTTCACCATTTGTCGGTGCAGCTGCAAGAGTGTCCGAGTGAATTTTGGTGGCTTCAAAGTGCTTCTCGTTGCACTGCAGGGGCTTTAACGTGCCTTTTCTTGTGACACCCTCCTCTGCGACTTCTATGGGCTGTCCTGTGCCCTGCAAAGGTCTGCTAGTGCCTTTTGAGGCACTCTAGAGTTCTCTAGGGCTATGCTGGCCCTGGGGATGTGTCCCAGCCTTGGTGTGGCTCAGGACCACGTGGGAGATCACAATTACCCAGGAGCAGGGCTGGAGGAAGGGTCACCCCAGCTCACAAAGCAGCCAAGTCTTTTAATGAGACATGAGCCTGGCCTGAGTGCTGTGAAAAGCGGAACACCCCCCTCCCCCGCCTCGGGAATGCCGTCCATCTGCATCCACAGTCAGCAGCACCACCACCAGATCTTCACAGCTATCTTAAGACGTATCTACAGAAACATCATATCTTCATCATCTTCACGGGAGGAGCCTGGACATAGAACTGCACAATGGTGCTGGTGGTGGTGAAGGAGTGGCGGTGCCTGATCCTCTTGCTGATGGTTTCCACCTGAAGCACAAGCCATCAAGAGCCTGGGGCACCAGCTTGGCCCAAGAGATTTGCTCATAGTCCACCTCCTGGAAGAATACCTGAGGGGAGCTGCCATGGGTGAGAAGCAGGGCTGAGAGCAGCCCTGGACCGCAGGGCCCAAGGGGCTCTGCCAAGGGGAAAACCCGGTGGCAGCTGAGGTGAAAGTAATTGTGAGGTAGAGCTCCACAGGGCAGATCAGAGCTGAGGGGTGAGGAACAGGGGAGGGGAATGAGCAGAGCAGACGTCCAAGAGGACTCACTGCAAGGCTAGCACAGTCAAGACTGGAGTATTTTACCTTGAAGATGTTGACGTGCAGATGACAATGACAAGGGTGTTGACACAGGTTGCATAGGGGTTTGAGGCAATGGTGAGCAGGCTGAGCAAGGTCTCAGGAGGAAAGCATCCAGGAGATCTTCAGTGCCAACACGATGTCCAGCCAGTCCTTCGAGATGCAGCACAGGTGGACAGTGGAGAGGAGACAAGATGGAAACCAGCCCAGTCACAGCAGGATGATAGCCCCAGGGACACAACTGCCAGGCCTCAGAAGGCACCGGGGACCTGTTCCAAGCCTTGACACTGGAGAGCACCAGTGGCTTGTGGCTCTGACCACCCCAGGTGTGCACTGCCTGTACCCCTCAGCTGAGTCGGTGGCGTGGGACAGGGCTTGCACGATCGTCTCCTCCTTCTCCCTGAGGCTGATGTCTGTCTTGCTGATGGGGATGCTGGATGACTCCCTGGGCCAAGAGGGAAAGCTGAGCTCTGCTGGGTCCTGGGGTGTAAATCCTCCACTTGCTGCTGCTGTGAGGTAGAGCTGGAGAGATCAGGCTGCTCATCACTTACGTGACTGAAGAACCACCGCAGGCACGGGAATGACCCAGCTCAACTGTTCCTTCGCACCCCTGCCGAGTCAGTACCTTGTATTTGGAGGGTGAAGCCCAACACCATGAGCTTTTTGCCCATGATGCTGTAGAAGAGGCAGGCAATGATGCAGCTGCACTGGCACTCGAGGACCTTGCAGGAGGTGCAGCAGCAGGTTGGGCCAGGAGCTGACCTGCCAGTACTGAGCCACCTCCAGAGCCTTGGACATAGACTAGGTTGAGGACATCTTTCTGGACACAGCTGCCCCTGCTCTGGCAGAGCACTGCAGTCAGGCAGCACAAGCTGGGGACACAACAAGTTCCCTTGGAGATGGTGACACTGCAAGCCTTCTCCTCCACCCCCAGCATCCAGAGGCAGGTGACAAGCTGGAATCAGACAGAGCAAGCACAGGGGCCACCAGAGGTGATGATAGGGGACAAACCAGTTGCCAGGTAGATCTGTCATAGAAGCATAGAATGGTTTGGGTTGGAAGGGACCTTTAAAGGTCATCTAGTCCAACCTCCTCCTGCCATGGGCAGGGACATCTTCAACTAGATCAAGTCCAACCTGACCTTGACTGTTTCCAGGGATGGGGCATCTACCACATCTCTGGGCAACCTGTTCCAGTGTTTCACCACCCTCATCATAACAAATTTCTCCCTTATATCTAGTCTGAATCTCCCCTCGTTCAGTTTAAAACCATCACCCCTTGTCCTATCGCTACAGGCCCTACTAAAAAGTTTGTCTTTCTGATGGGCCCCTTTTAAGTACTGGAAAGCCACAACAAGTTCTCCCCAGCGCCTTCTCCAGGCTGAACAACCTCAACTCTCTCAGCCTGGCCTCATAGGAGAGGTGCTCCATCCCTTTGATCATTTTTGTGGCTCTACTCTGGACCCACTCCAACAGGTCCATAGAATCACAGAATCATTTTGGTTGGAAA